TGCCCATCTACATTGCGCTTGTTGGACCGACGGTAGATCCTCTTTACCAACGGTCCGTGCAAGTGCTCAAACATGTTGGTTCTGAATTCGGTCACATGACCCGCGCGACGAATAGAGTCGACGTAGTGCGACATGATATGTGTTTTCACAAGGCACCAAGAGGATGGCTGCTTGGGGAAGGCAGCCTGCAACTGCTCAACGAGCCTGGTGGGAGTGGGAGATGACAACACATGCAATCACATCAGAGTCTACTTATTCATATTGTACGGCTGGTCCTAAACCTATCCTATACTTGTTCCGCAGCAACGTTTACAGATTGCCTACTACAAGAGCACATTTACAGTAGCCAAGCAATCATCCCATGCACTGTGGTTTACATGCATGGTATTAGTACCGGGAGGTCATCTTCTTCAGCTCCCGGAGGGACCGCTCAGTGTGCCCCTGTGGCTGGGAGCACAGGAGGTACCAGCCAAGGTAGGCACGAACAGCATCCATCTGGGGCTGGCGAAGCAGGCCGGCAAAAACAAACACCATGACCTGCAGAAGGGGGGTGGATAGCAGCACAGGGAAGGGTTAGCGCAGATGGACTGGCGGTTTAGGGACAAAGAGGTGGTAGCAGGAGCAGACTGGTAGAGGGGCGGTCAGGACAAGCAGCAGGGAATGGAGAGTGGGGGGGGGGAGGGAGGGGGAGGGCAGGCAGCACAGTGTGTGGGTTTAACATGGGTTACCGGTGCTGTGTGTAGAGGGTGCAGCCTACTGCTCAAGACATGGCCATTCAGGGCTATCATACCTGCATGACGACCCTGTGCTCATAGGCCGCAACGCAGGCTCCGGTCTCAAAGTAGGCGCTCTCCGGCAGGCGCGTGCAATCGCGAATGAGCGACAGGCGCCTGCCCATATACATCAGTTCAACGCAAGGGCAGAACCATCTCAGGGAGAGCTCAGCACTTGTACTTTGTGTAAATGTGACAAAGAGCAACGAATCCACAGACCAAAACACTGACCTGTCCATCTGCTTCACACGCCGCTTCTTCATCTTGCGCACGACAGCCACAATGTGGCTCATGATGCCCAGGTCCGCCTGGTGCATGATGTCAGGCATGATAACGAGGTAGGGATTGCCCCACACGGTCCCTGGGACATCCCACTTCCAGAGCACGCACTGGAAATGGGGATGCAAAAGGGAATGAAGGAGAAATGTACATGTGGGTTGGGATAAACCACAGGTGGGGTGAGTTCAATGGGGCAGAGCATATCCAGCAATTCATGGTGGGCCGGGCGAATGCATAGACAGCACAATAGCCGCAGGAACCCGTCACTCACCTCAACAGGGTAGGTAGAGTAGGTCTTGCACGGGTTGTCCTGGCTATTTGTCGTCCCAACCGCCTCGTTGACGATCCATTGCTGCTGTTCAGGCGTGCGTGGCGTGTTCCGTGCCTTGACAGCCCCCAGATGCTACTGGTGTAGCACGGGGGTGAGGGGGTGGGATATGAAGGTAAGGGTGGTAACTGAGTGTAGTATCAGGCCACATTAAAACCAAATTGTATACAAATGCGTGCGCATTCGATGTTTACTAACCTTTGCAGCATAGCAGATGCTGCACGGCATCCGCGACCCATGCGAGAGTGTGCAACTGATCTTGCCGCTCTCAGGGTAGTCACACACCCAGGCGTACAGCAGGGGCCGCACGGTTTGCCTATCACCAAAAGGGTCCTTGAGACGGAACCCGCTGCATGGGACATGCAGAGTGGCAACAGGAATTCGGAGGACGGTTTTAAGGGAGGAACACAGATGGGCATTGGGGTAGGCAACATACAGAGACACTTTGCATACTCTGCAGGTGGCAGGATGACGACACAGCAAGATGCCGCATGAGTACGAACCTTGCCATGCCATCAAGAAGCGGCTGCAGCACGGTGATGACGCATCTCTGGAAGAGCATCACCTTCTCCACGGCAGACATTGCAGACGGAGGGATAGGAAGGAGGGCAAGAAGTGTGTGCCCGGCTTTCCCCCAACGCTTGGCCTGGGCGATATTGGCGAGCGTCATCATGAGCGGCCACGCCTTCTTCCGGCCGTTGTTGCTCATGTGCGTCACATCCGAATACAGGATGATCCCCCCCACAACTTCGGAACATCCGAAGTGTTCCTGCAGTGCACGACAAAGCGGCAACGGACACACGGTCAAACACTGAAAAGATGTTCAGGACACGTCGGTGCATCGATGGAGGCATGAGCACGGATTGGGATTGGTGTGGCAACGAGGCATTTCCTTACCTGAGCGGCATTCCACCACGTTCCTGTTTCGGGCGTGGTATATCGACGGTCGCCCGTGTCAGGGTCCTCGTCAACACGTGCCTTCAGCTTGAAGCCAGGCGCGTTGTTGGGATGCCCAAGCATTTCAGCGAATGCCTGGTGCATGGTGGCGAAGGCAGGGGAAAGGAGGGGCATGGTTAGTGGCGGAGAAAGCGGGAGTACGGCGAATACAATATATGCTAACACCGTTTGCCACAGCAGCATTTCACAGCCCATAATTAAGAGACAGCTTACCTGGGCAGAGCCTTGGAAGAGCAGGCGCTGTGGTGGATGACCCTCAATCTCGAAGGTCGCCACTGACCATCCGCGATTGAGCCCTGCCAAGCGCTCCAACTCGAACTGCTCCAGATCCTTACAGTTCCGGAGCTCCGAGGCCACAAGAGGCGCAAGGCCGGGCTCCACCATGAGCTGGAGCAGGCCGTTGATGTCAACCTCGGCCATTCCCATTCCGCTCGAACGAAATGCAGCAGTTTCAGCGCGAGCGGGTTGAGGGGCGTGGCATCGCTCTGTCTGGTGCTGATTGTTGGCGGCGCGGCATTACTACCTTCGGGGCGGCTCTCAGGATGGCCACTCGTGTCAGCCGCAGGTGTTCCAGGTTGATGATGTTCTTCATCTTCAGGAGGCACATCGTTCACACCCGTGGGAGTATCGTCAACGCGAGCTTCAGGCACGGTTGGAGGACCGCTCTCACCGACGGCGGTGGATGCGTTAGACGTGGTTGGTGTAGCGGGAGCGGCTGGAGCGTCCGACAGAATGTCGTGGACGAATAGCAGAGCGTGTAGACCGGTGGACGGTGCATATTGCGAGGGCCTTGCCACGGCGGAAAGCCCTTGACAAGGGGTCCGCCGTGACTTATGACCGCCATAAACTTGGGCGTTGGGGAACCATCTGTTGCAGAACTCGCAAACGACGCCTGGCAAAGAGCCCATGTGCTACGGATCCGTCTAAGTGTCTAGATGTGGACTGTGAAGCAACGAGCGTCGTGGGAAGCTTGTGAACGCATTAAGTACACCAGGCAGGAACGCTGTGGCTGCAACACGGTCAGTGATCGCCAAACCGCGCACTGTCGAAGGCGGCTTGTATCACTGCACGACTGGCACTTGAGCGGGCCGCTCACGTTTGGGACTGGCTAACGATGTTCGAGCCGCGTGACGAGGCAAGGCACGATACAGGCCGCTCATAGCTCGGATCGTCTTCCCTACAAGGCGTGTCGCCCCCGTTTAGACCGCCCACGACGTGACCATAGGATAATGCGCTGGATCTTAAGACGTAGGGTCGTGTGTCTGCGTTGCGAGCACGGTGAGAAGGACGTGCCTGTTGATTCAAGAACTGGGGTGCGTGAGAGTCGAGTGGGATGAGGAAGAGCGGGAAGAGATCCGTTTGGATCTGTGATTCGGTCGCGAAGCGTTGTAGGAGGGATGTCGCGGTCATGTTAGAGTCCTCAAATTGTGCGCACGTCAAGAGCCAATATACAGAACATAGATTACATAGTACATTTACAGCTTATCAATACACACAAGTCTTTGTTGATGTATATTGTACAATCATAAGAAGAAGCCAGCTCATGATCCAACCCTACTTGACAACGTGACAGTTTACAACCCGTCCAAGAACTCTAGTGTGCTCTAGAAACATACGGACATACGGGAAGTACACAAGAACGGCGTGCCCTAATGATAACGCATCTCCGCTCGTGCGTTGGGCCTGTGCTTCATACCACAACCTCCATGCACCTTGTCGAGGGTCCACGCAAGAATTGAGCCTCATCCCACACCATTACACAACGGTTTCACCATGTCGCGCAAGCCCTGGCCGTGCACGCAGCAACATCGCACAGTGGGAACCGCTATGTCGTTAACGCTTCTCCACTCATGCGTTGGGCCTGTGCTTCATACCACAACCTCCATGCACCTTGTCGAGGGTCCACGCAAGAATTGAGACTCGTCCCTCACCATTACACAACGGTTTCACCATGTCGCGCAAGCCCTGGCCGTGCACGCAGCAACATCGCACAGTGGGAACCGCTATGTCGTTAACGCATCTCCGCTTGTGCGTTGGGCCTGTGCTTCATACCACAACCTCCACGCACCTTGTCGAGGGTCCACGCAAGAATTGAGCCTCATCCCACACCATTACACAACGGTTTCACCATGTCGCGCAAGCCCTGGCCGTGCACGCAGCAACATCGCACAGTGGGAACCGCTATGTCGTTAACGCATCTCCGCTCATTCGTTGGGCCTGTGCTTCATACCACAACCTCCACGCACCTTGTCGAGGGTCCACGCAAGAATTGAGCCTCATCCCACACCATTACACAACGGTTTCACCATGTCGCGCAAGCCCTGGCCGTGCACGCAGCAACATCGCACAGTGGGAACCGCTGTGTCGTTAACGCATCTCCGCTCGTGCGTTGGGCCTGTGCTTCATACCACAACCTCCATGCACCTTGTCGAGGGTCCACGCAAGAATTGAGCCTCATCCCACACCATTACACAACGGTTTCACCATGTCGCGCAAGCCCTGGCCGTGCACGCAGCAACATCGCACAGTGGGAACCGCTGTGTCGTTAACGCATCTCCGCTCGTGCGTTGGGCCTGTGCTTCATACCACAACCTCCATGCACCTTGTCGAGGGTCCACGCAAGAATTGAGCCTCATCCCACACCATTACACAACGGTTTCACCATGTCGCGCAAGCCCTGGCCGTGCACGCAGCAACATCGCACAGTGGGAACCGCTATGTCGTTAACGCATCTCCGCTCGTGCGTTGGGCCTGTGCTTCATACCACAACCTCCATGCACCTTGTCGAGGGTCCACGCAAGAATTGAGCCTCATCCCTCACCATTACACAACAGTTTCACCATGTCGCGCAAGCCTTGGATGACTGCGAACGCTGCAGCGTCGCCGCGTTGGAACAGCGAGGTCGATAACGCATCATCGCTCGTGCGTTCGACCTCTGCTTCATACCACACCCTCAATGCACCATGTCGAGGGCCCACACACGAATGGATCCCCATCCAACACCATTACACAACAGTTTCACCATGTCACGCAAGCCTTGGATGACTGCGAACGCTGCAGCGTCGCCGCGTTGGAACAGCGAGGTCGATAACGCATCATCGCTCGTGCGTTCGACCTCTGCTTCATACCACACCCTCAATGCACCATGTCGAGGGCCCAACACGAATTGAGCCCCATCCAACACCATTCCACACCTCCATTCCAGTTGGCACTAGTACACGTCGTGCCTGAACAAGTTCCAACGACCAGTATCCGTCGACATCCCTGAAAGTGTGCTCAGTATAGCATTCCATAGTCTACGAGTTGGAAGCTCAAACCGCGTGTCCGAAGCCAAATGCACTCACTAACCTTTACACAGTATGACACTATAAGCGGCCATTCAGTTGAAATTGTCTTAGTTGTACTTTGCAAGAGTATTCTGCTCCTATGTTAAAATTTGATCAATGCCCATAGGCACTGTATTTTGCAGGATGTGCTGATTGGTGGTGTCGAAACGGTACTAGATTCTGCGGAGATTGATGCGTTGGCGCTGATTGGCCGACGCAGCTCAAACGACCCTCCCCACGACCGCACCAGCCAAGCTGGACATTCGCTGCGGAAGCAGCGACTGTGATCAAGCGTTTAGTGGGGTTTTGATCAAGTAGGTTAATCGCAGACCGTCGGATTGTGCCTGGTCTGCTTACAGTCCCCTCTCTAGACTCGCAAACCACCCCATCCACCGTCGTGCCCCACTCACCATCTTCCGTCACCCTCATACCCACTACCTTGACGCCGCTCGATGCTGAACACAGGTGTTTCCAGATCGCCAGTGAGTCAGAGTAGTGACGAAGCAAATGGCTGACGCTATGTGCTTAGTAGCTACTAATTCAGTTCTACTTGTACCTGAGATTTAGGGTGAGATAGTACTGGATTGACCGGGACGGGGTCAATTAGTAACAATCCTTTCCGGTTATTTTCTAAACCGGCTACACAATCCCGCAAGTTTTACCTTGCATTCGTACAACCCTCATGACACGTGCTACTCAGCAAACAGAAAAGGAGAAGGAGCAGGCAAAATGACGCACGACACGGAGGATATTGCTTCAGACCGACCATGAGGGTGGGGCCAGATCTAGGGCTACTAAAGCGGCCGCCGCGCAAACCAATCAAAGGAAACGTGCGGCGGGGAAAAAGGCTGAGGTGGGAAAGAAGAAGTCCGGGAAGAAGGCGGAGGACAAGGGGAAGCAACCAACGGCACGCAAGCGTGTTTCGGCCGTGAAGAGCGATGCGGGTGTTGCCACTGCTGCCCTCGAGCCCGGTCCTTCCGACGACGGCACCATCGGCGGGAACGAAGACCCTGGGCGTGGCGGCGTGAGTGTTGCCGTCCGGCCGGGGGACAGAGAGGGCTTGGCGAGTGGAGGAAAGCACGGCGACTCGCCCGGCGACGACCAGGCCGCTACTGTGGTGTCCGAGGCTGAGGCATCACAGCAGCATCTGACGCTGCTTCCCCCGCCCGTGGTCAAAGTATCTGCTGCAATGATAGATAAGGAGAAGGATGCTGCGCACGATTGCACGGAGGAGCCGAAACACGACATTGCCGACGTCGGTGGATCTCCTCCCTCTGGGGGACGCGGGAGGCGTAGGCAGAGGAAGAGCGATGGGGAGGAGGAGTATGACACCCCCGTGGCCGAGGACATCCCCATACGCGCAAAGAGGAGGCAGACGACAGCCAGCGGTGACGACGCCGGTGGTGCTGAAGTTGGGACAACGCGAGGCACCACGGAGCCAAGTGGCTTGGCGACAGATCAAGCATTGCGGCATAAGGGCCGACCCGACCCGAGGAAACCATCTAGCGGACGGAGGGCCAAGCAAGCTTCGGGGGGGAAGAGGCCGAAGCGCGGCAAAGAAGGCCCCGGTGAAGCGGATGTTGAGGACGAGGGGGATGGAGAGGAGGAGGCCGAGGAGGATGCGGAGGAGGAGGACGAGGATGCAGGGGAGGAAGAAAAGGACGAGGATGAGCAGGAGGGCGACAATGATGAGGAGGAGGAGGAGGAGGAGGAGGAGGAGGAGGAGGAGGATGGCGACGAGGGGAAGGAGAAGGAGGACGATGAGGATGAGGATGAGGACGAGGAGGAGGACGATGAGGGGGATGACGAGCCTGAGGAGGAAAAGAGTGAGGAGGAGGAGGAGGAGGAGGAGGAGGATGAGGAGGAGGAGGAGGAGGAGGAGGAGGAGGAGGAGGAGGAGGAGGAGGAGGAGGAGGAGGAGGAGGAGGAGGAAGAGGAGGAGGATGAGGATGAGGAGGAGGAGGATGAGGAGGAGGAGGACGACGTGGAGGAAGAGGAGGTGGAGGAAGGGGCGGATGAGGAAGAGGAGGAGGAGGAGGAGCCGGCAGGGAAAGGACGGGGCCCACGAGGCAGACGGGGGAGTGGCACAGGGAAGGTGGGGGGCCGGTCTGGTCAATCCCGGAAACGCGGGGCGGTTGTCGCAATGAGAGGCGGACCAGCGGGCAAATCGAAGGCGCGTAAAGTGAAGGTCGAAACTGACCGGGGTGGAAGGAAGCAAGGGAGACAGGGAGCTAAAGGCGATGGAGAAGGAAAAGGAGGGCACGCGAAAGGGGTACCTGTAGGTTCGGCAAAGAAGGAACCTGCCCGTAAACGAGGCAGCACCCGCCGAAGCACACCGCGGAAAGGGGGCAACGATAAGGAGCAGGCAGCAAAACCGAAGGGACAGCAACGAGGTACGCAAAGTGTCACAAACGCATGGCATAGCTGCTAAACCGGGTAAGGCGTGACTATACACTACAGTTCCCAGCTACACCCCTGTTAGAATCATGCGGTTACTCGTTTGCGTGCATGTGTCCAAATGTACATTACAGACACCATCTCCGTGCTCATCCTCCGTGTGACTCTCAGCCCCCCGTGTTACAGGCATTGGGCCACCGGTAAGCGTGCAACGGATGCAGCTAACGAAAGGGGCCGGAAGAGCGAGTGTGGCACCGCTATCCACAGGAGCACCAAGGTTCTTCACGCCATACTCCGGCCCGAGCAAAGTCGCTGCGACTGCACCCGGCGCGGCTACAGGAGAGGAATCCGAATCCCCTCCACCAGCCCCCGTCACGCACTCCCCACTCGCCTCTCCCTCTTACCCATTTCGGCCACTACACGCTTCTCCTGTCCGGGGCAGGGCGGTCTCCCCCCTCGCTGGTCCATCGCGCGGGCATCAACCAAGCACTTCTGCCAATCCCTTCCCTGAGCCTCCCTTTCCCCGCCAGCGTGATAGTGTGAGGGCACACGGGGCTGCTGCTGAAGACGTTGATCCCCTTGGCCAGAGAGGGGTTTCTACACACCCTTTTCCGGATGTCATGGATGCGCTGGGCGAAGGTGCAGAGCATGGGCAGTTTGTTACACGAGACGAGTTCCAGCAGCTACGGTCTGAGATGTACGCCATGTTTGCTCAGCTCGGCCTGCGTCGTGGAGCAACTGCCAGCTATGCCGCCGAAAAAGCACGCGTGCCAATTTGGAACTTGACCCGAGCCAAGCCTTGTCGCGAGATGTGTGTCGGAGCTCCTATCAAATGACTCCAACCGTCGGTCGAAATTGGGTCCGGATTTTTTTACGCGAAGACAATCGCAATCAAAATTCGTCCAAACTTGGCATAGGGTTTTTGTGATGTGATTCCGTAATCAGTTCATTCTCGTTATTCGATATCTGCGCACTCTGACAAGTTCATTCATAACAAATTGTTCCGTCTGCAACCTCCACCTGACGTACACGAACAGTACTAGTTCATTTACTTGCAAAGCAGTCAAGGAGGTATATCTGCTTTCGCTGCGTTGTTCGTTTTGCGAAATGTCTTCGCAACAAACTCCGCCAGACTCAGTCTTCGAAATGTCTTTGCCGCATGCGAAAAATCCCGCCCAGGGCATCCCCCACGTTCTCCCCCTCACCCCGCACGACGCGGCACCTTCACTCCTCCCCGAACGCGCCACATCGAGATCCAAACCAAGCACACGCCAACCCCTTCTCTATCGGCTTCCATGACATCGAGTCGCCCAGCATGCGGCGCGATTGCAATTCGACATTCTGCTTCACACGAATTCATCCAGTATGCACCCATCGGCGAACATGGCAAACAGTTTATCCAGACCGTACTTGCACCCCATCGCCGTTCTTCCTTTATTCGTGCCACTTCACTGTTGGAGGTCTACCCGCTTGTCTTCTGCTCTCGGCTACAGTTGTGAGGCTGAGATCTACGCAGGGGCCATGGCTGCACAGGAGTTACACTGGCTAACTCACATGCTTATCAACTTAGGAGAGCACCCCCCTTCTCCTCCACCTCTACACGTCGACAACAAGGCCATGATTGCCTTGTGCTAGGAGCAGAGACTGGCACACAGAACGAAGCATATTGCTCTGCGTTACTTCCTCGCATGAGAGTTGCAGCAGCGTGGTCAGCCGCATTGCGTACGTGGCCTCACGAGCCAGCACTACTGAAGTTCTCACCAAGGCACCCGTGTTTGGTGACCATCAGCGTTTCTCCCCTGCTCTAGGCCTTGTGCCTACTTTGCCTCACTTGCTCACTGCTTGACTGTGTCTTGTACAGTGATCTTTATATCTATACCTCCTTGTTTACTCCTACTAGGGTGCGATCATTGTGCTAGTTGTGCTTTTTGTAACTCTACATGTGAACTGGCCTTATGGACTCTTGGTTATGCTCAGACTGCGTGGTGATCTTGGGATCCACCCTAAGCTTTGCTTTGCTTTGCTTTGTCTTTTGCTTGACTGGTCCTGTGACTGTTGGTTGTTCCTGCTATCCCTCACTTGCCCATGGAGGTGTGTCAAAATACATTCGTATGTATGTAGGTGTAGTGTGGTAGCCAAGGCTCTCCCTAGAATCTGAGGGATGTCTGATACATTAGATGGGCCCCTGTGCAAAAAAAATGGTTTTGTTTGATGCTGGCTGGAAAATCATATAAATAACTTTTAAAAAATGTTTGATTATCAGCCAATTAGACTAAAGAAATATGCTAGTAAAAGCTCTGGGGGTAGGTTACATAGAGTACAACCACTTAGGGTTAACTACTCTTGTACTTTTCATTCCCTCTATTGCAATCATTCCTGGCAGATATTCTGAGGGGGGATATCACTGTCGGACCATTTTTTGCCTGCAAAACGCAGCACACTGCATAATAGATGTGAGAGGACGTCCCCGTTATAATATTTTCTCATTGTTATATTTTTCCTTCATCTTATTCTCATTTTTCTCCTCTTTATTTTGGTCTTTATTTCATCTCAATCGGCCTACTATTCTATTTTCTAGAGCCTTCTCTTTATTTCACTTATTTCCTATTTTTCCAACCTACATATTTATTATACGGCACCGACAGCGCCGACAGTGGTGTATAAGGTGTAATCTGGGTGTAATCCCAAGTGCCAATAGCCTTGCGTGCTTGTGCGCACTTGTGATTGTAGTATCGGGAAGGGCGTGTTCCCGAATGTTCGTTTTATCTCGTTTATCCTTGTAATTCCGAGTATAAATACGCCTTGTATTCAATTTTAGTGACACGTTCGAATGAGAATTCGATCCTGTGACACTTGGTAATCAGAGCCGTTCTCACTCGACAACTCTCGGCTAAGCAGCGGTCGCGGAAAAAATCGCCTCGAAAAACCGCCGGGGGCGACCAATTCGACGCCGATTTCTGGTAAGCACGAGTTCCGCGATTTCGAATTAACCGCCTCGCGTGGTTTTTGAACAGGATGGGTTCGCCAGCGACTAACGACGTTACGCAGCAGCTCTTCGCGCAAATCGCCAAAATGGAAGCGGAGATGCGAGCTACGACGGAGCAGTCGCGATTGGAGAACGAGCAGCTGCGAAATGAACTGCAGTGTGTTACGCAGCTTCTCTCGAGCATGAACTTTCCTGCTTCGGCGACTTCGCAGCAGTCGCAGCGTCAATTTGAGGTTCCGAAACTTTGCTCGCCTGAATCGTTCGACCCTAGCGATCGAAAATCCGACGTCAGAAGGTGGCTCGCGACGATCGAAATTTATTTCGCGGCGATCGGATGGTCGACGACGGAGTACGACGGCGAGAAAATTCGTCTCGCGACAACATTAATGCGTGGTCCAACTCTCGAGTGGCTCGGAAGCAACAGTAGGATCTTCCAGGGCGAAGCCACGTGGCAGCAGTTCCGGGCAGACCTGCTCAAACGTTTTGAGCCGATTAATTCTACTTACATTGCGCGCGAAAAATTACATCACCACCGGCAATACGGGAGTGTCGCGCAATACACGCAGCAAATGGAAGAGTTTTACAACCGCATTCCCGACATTACCGAGGGTGAAAAAATTCAGTCCTACATCGTGGGGCTGAAAAACGACATTCGCCGCCAGGTTGCAGCAGCAAGTTGCAGCAGCTACAGCGAAATCGTTTCGGCTGCGGAGCGTTTTGACTTGGTCAACGCCGGAACACGACGTCCCCATGTCGTCGGATCACGACAAGGAGATCGCTCGGCTTCAACCACGTTCGCCGACCCCATGGAAGTCGACACATTCGACGCGAAGTCACGTCCTGCAAAAAACAAAACGATTTGCGATTTTTGCGGCGGAAACGGACATCGCATTGTCGACTGTTTTCACATGAAATCTGCACGTGCGGCATTCCGAGCTCGAGGGAGTGGCGAAACTAAGGACAAAAAGTCAAAAAAACGGATCTCGCCAGTGATTGCGGATCGTGCTGGCGAGGAAAAACAGATCCGAAAGCGTCAGCGCAATCTTGACCAAATCGAAATTCGAGGACAGCATTGGGCGCGAGATTTGGAGAATCCAGGGCAAAATCCCAAGCCCCTGGACTGAAATTTGTCAGAGGGATTCGCCGAGGAAAAGAAAACCTCCGCGAAAACAGACTCGACCAAGACGGGAACAGGGCTGTCGATTGGTTTTAGGCCAACACTTGAGTGGCTCAGGTCCCCAGTTTCCAGCCCTGAAATCTCCGGGAAGCGGCTTTTTCTAGCCCTTAAGCGTCCGAGAATGGCCCCAACTTAACACTTGAAATCAGGGCAACACTTAAGCGTTCAGGGAAAAAAATTACCTGGACATTCACAAATGTACACTGCTGTAACACAGGAAGCCGAAATTGGCTCAAATTGCCTAACCACCTTCCATCAAAGGTGAAGTGGCAAAAATGCGGCTCTAATAGGGGTGCGGGACAGGGGAGGGTTCAGAGGAAGGGGGGGTAAAGAGAGGGGGGGCCTCCGGGGAGGTCCCCAAATTTGTACGGCGAATCAGGGCTAGCCCCCAAATGCGCCCTGTAAGAGTCAGGGGAAGCCCCTGACGACGCCCTTTAAGAATCCGGGCTGTACTGAATAGCAACCCTTAAAATTCGGAACCCGGACCAATGTCAACCCTTAATGTTCAGGGCATTATGGGCAAATGGCCTTGAATCGACAGCCCTGGATGGGAACTCTCCAATTCGACCCCGGAAAAAATCAGAATTCGTTAAAGTTATCATTTAAAGATGCTTTAATGAAAACTGATGATTTTCGCGGGTCCGGAGCCATAAAAAAATTCCGGGAAGAACTCTAGAGGAAGCTGATAATTAAAGAAGTGGTACCGGTGCCTACGGAGCTGGGGAAAAAATTAAGGAGTGTGGAAAGGAGCAGGTCTTTCCACGGCGTCAATGTCTTCTCCCGGAACCAGCCCAAGACGACTCTCCGCTCCCCAGGGAAGAAGTCTATGGAGCTGAAGCAGCTGAGGAGGCAGCTGGGAGTTGAAATGAAGCTGCGAAAACTCCAAAAACCTCTCCAGGATGCATCCAGTGGATCGCAGGCGTCGACCGGATCCACCCCCTCAGGGTCAACCACCACGGTGACTACCTCTACTCCTGGCGTTGGAGAGGAGCCTTTCTCCACGCAGCCCAGGCCAGCTGTTAGTCCAGGAGCAAGCAGTGGAACCACGGTGTGTACTGAATATTGGGATGTACCCTATGATCCTATTAATGAAACTATTTTTGGGTACTCCGAGCAACGCTCACCACTCCTGCTCGAGGTGATCTGCAACGGACAGCGCCTCCAAGCACCCGTGGACAGCGGAGCATCGCACAGCGTCTACGACAAAAAGGCAGTCGATCATCTCGGAGGTGAAATCAAGTCCTCAAGCTTCTCGGCAACGATGGTGGACGGCAGTAAGCTACCGATCTACGGGGAAACACGGTTACTACTACACATTGGACCCCTACGATGGAAGCCTGCCCTCCCCGTCACAAATATTAAAGGACTCGACATAATCTTCGGAAGAGACTTTCTGAAAAAAAATCAACCCCGAGATCAACTGGGTTAACCGGACGGCCAACATCAATAACAATGGACGAAAAGTCAGCCTTCCCAACTGGGACGACACAGGGAATATTCCAGTCGAGACACTCGCACGCTTTGAGAAGGACGTCAAACGGACCACGGCGGGATTTATGGCGATAGTTAGCGAAGCAGACAACGGAGAGAATCATGTCAGAAATAACTGAGCAGGAATGAATGAACTAGAACAGAGTTTGGTACAAGTAGGAAACCCTAACTTTGTGTACCCC